GGCCGGGAAATTTAGTGGGTCAGGCTGCGGGGCCCCGAAGGGGCCCAGAAGGCTGGCATTTTAAATTTCCAGGCCAGATACGGAAGTTATTGGGGGTGAAGCGCCCAATAACGGATTTATCTGGTATTTTACGACGACCAAACATCAAATTAAAGTGATTAATTAAAACTGATTATTGCAGTGATGAATAAAAAAAGTTAAATATAAATGGTTAAGTTAGTTAGAAGCCAATTCAAGTTTCTTTTCTTTTCCTAAAATGTCTAATATAACAAAGAAAAAAACATATTATAAACCAACTGAAGAAGAAATTAATACAATAATTACCAACACTATTTGTCAAATCACTAACATAAACCCTCTCGCTTGTCTATATACTTACAACTATAATAAACCACCGTACGGTTTTTGTGTCTCCGTACTCACGTGACTCCCTGTTATTAGTTGAACCGTTAACCTCATTTCCAAGAGGTCCTTGCAGGTTAACAACGTAAAAACAGAGTGTCCTCCGCTACGCTCCGGACAATAACTTACAAAAAACTTTGTCTATCCATAACCACAACAATAGAAGTGTTATAATATTAATAAGATTGTCCGATCAACACTTATAAACCAAAAAGGGATCGGGCAGTAATTTATATGCATCACATGATTTTTAATTTACAAATTTGGTAGTAATCAATTTAAAAAAAAAAAAACGACTTTAGAAAATCAGAAAACTGGTAACACCGACTGGCCATGTCAATATTGTATATAAAGCACAAACTTATCAAAATAAAATCGTAATCAAATCATGGCAGAAAAACTACAAATGGCAGTCTTCCAAATTCCCATAGAATTACCTGCCTCGGCGGACTTCAAATAATATGTTAACGCTTTATGCTTATCAACTTCAACTTTAATTCCTAAATAATAACAATAGGCAACTTGATACATTCCATTAGAATCATTCATTTCTGCCGACTTTTGATAATATGTAAATGCCTTATGTTCATCCTTCTCAACTCCAATTCCTCCGTCATAACAATATCCAACATTAAATATTCCTTTAGCATGTCCCATCTCTGCAGATTTTTGACAATAAATAAATGCCTTGTGTTCATCCCTTTCAACTCCGATTCCATTCAAATAACAATTTCCAACATAAAATGCTCCGTTAGAATCAAGGTTTGCGTCTTGAAGATTTGCATTTTGGAAATTTATATTTTGAAGGCTTGCATTTTGGAGATTTGCACATTGGAGATTTGCATTTTGAAGCTTTGCATTTTGAAGATTCGCATTTTGAAGAGTTGCACTTTCAAAATTCGCACTTTGAAGATCTGCATTTTGAAAATTCACATTATTTAAGTCAGCTTTTACAAATTGTGAATTTTTAAAAACCCCATTGCTCAAATCCGCTCCTTGAATACGAACACTATCTAAATTTTTTGGAAGCTGTATTTTGGCACGTAATAGAATTGTAATGGCATTGGCAGATGCAATTTGAATATTCGAATTATTTTTAGAACATTCAATAAGATTTAGCATCAGTTGCCTGTATTCTGACATTTGTTGGACTACTTCAACCAAAAATTCTTGAATTGCAGGTGCTGATATAATCGATTGCTTATTAAAGAGAGTTGCTTGTGACGTATCATTAAGTGAATCT